TACCTAGGTATCAGTCCCGCCGCAATCAGTTTAGTCCTCATCCGGGAGGAGGATGGAGTTCAACATGCCATTTTCTATGTGAGCAAGACCCTCCGGGAAGCAGAATTCGGGTTCTCCCCCGTGGAGAAGGCGGTACTGTCTATCGTCTCGACCGTCAAAAAATTGGGCCATTATTTCCAAGCCCATCCGGTGCAGGTCCTCACTCACCAACCCCTTGGTGCCTTGATGCGGAGTCCTACCAATTCCTCTAGCATGGTAAAATGGGCCATCTTCCTAAGTCAATACAACATAGACATCCGCCTGAGGCCTGCCATAAAGGGCCAAGCCCTGACGGACTTTGTGACATAATGCACATCAAGGTCAGCCACAGTGGTGGAGCCCTCGACGCAAGGGGATGAGTGGTGAACCCGTTACGCGGACGGTTCCTCGGCAACAAAAACGTGCGGAGGAGGTGTGGTCCTTATCACACCCGAAGGCTTCCGCGCCTATTACTCGATCCATTTCTCCTTCAAGGTTTCCAACAATGAAGCGGAGTATGAGGCCCTCCTTTGTGGCCTCCGGCTGGTGGCTAACCTTAAGGCAAAATTGATCCACGTGAAGTGTGATTCCAAACTAGTGGTTGGCCAGGTCTCCGGTGAATACCAAGTAAAGGAGGGAAGCATGAAGCAATACAGTGAGGCAGACAAGGAATTGTTCAAAGTATTTGAAGCGCACTCCATCACTCAAATACCGAGGGCTCAAAACTCTGAAGCCGATATTTTATCCAAGCTCTCGGACGAGTCCCCGGAATATCTCTCCAAAATTGCGAGGATAGAGGAACTCAGCCTCTCAAGCATACACGACAACCCCGTCATGGATATACACCCAAGGCTGAAAGACTAGATTTCAGACATCACCAACTTCATCACAACAGGACATCTGCCTGAGGACGAAGGCTGAAAGAAACTGACAAAGTTGAGGGCTCCAAGCTACGTCCTCGAGAACGGAAAACTTTACAAACGATCCTACAACGGTGCATTACTCTGATGCCTCCACGAAGAAGAGTCTGAAGTCGCTATGGAGAAGGTACAAAGTGGCACCTGCTCATCCCACTAGGGACCCTTCTCAATGTCCTGAAGGCTAATCATCCAAGGTTACTTCTGGCCTACGATGGCCCAGGACTGCGCAGACCTCGCTCGAAAGTGTAACGCTTGTCAACACTTCCAGAAGGCTCCGAGAAGGCCCGCGGTCAATTACACTTCAGTCAGCACAGCAATACCACTTTCCAGGTGGGGCATTAACCTGGTAGGACTATTGTCGAGGAGTACATCAAACAACAGATACATAATAGTTACCATTGATTATTTCATAAAATGGGTAGAAGTTGAACCCCTCGCTAGTATCACCACGGCCCGATGCCGTCATTTTGTCCTAAAGAACATTCTCACCAGGTTCGGCATCCCCCAGCAGATCATGTCCGACAACGGAACTCAGTTTGAAGCGGTCCCCTTCTATGACCTTCCGGAGGCATGGGGAATAAAACATACCTTTTCTTTGGTAGCCTACCCGCAAGGTAATGGTCAAGTCAAGAATACCAACCGAACATTGCTGGAAGGCTTGAAAAAGAAGCTGGAGGCCGAAGGCGGAGGCTGGGTTGAAGAATTACATAACATCTTGTGGGCCTATCGCACTACACCTCGGAAGGCAACTGGCGAAACCCCTTTCGCTTTGTGTTACGGGTTTGAAGCCAAGGAACCAACCGAAGTAAGCCTCCCGATTAGATGAGTGGACCAATATGAGGCCGAAAACAATGAGGCAAACATGGCCTTTGACCTCCATCTTATTTCAGAACGCAGGGAGCAAACCTTCCTAAGCGCTGAGAACTACAGACGCCAGGTTAAGGGCTATATCGATTCTAAGGTTCGCTCTCGGGAATTTCGAGTAGGTGACTACGTCCTAGGAAGAAGGGAGTCTAGCCAACCTGCCGAGGGTGGAAAGCTAGCACCAAAATTCGAGGGCCCCTACATCGTGACGACCATCATAAAACCAGGAACGTACAAGCTACAACGCACTAATGGGACCGAGGTCCCGAGGCACTAGAATGTACATCAATTGGTCAAATTCTATCAATAAAATATTGTACGAGTGGCCAAACCCGCGAACATGACCCCCGGCCATGGCCCCTTTTTCATGAAATAGAAGTTACTCTATTTTTCTATTAGCACAAAAGCCCTCGGTACCAGGTACCGAGGATGGATCCGCGAATCGACTACACCTGGAAAGGAAAAACACCAAGTGTTTTCCAAGCTAAATTAAGCCCTCGGTACCAAGTACCAATGTCGGATTCATCGGTCAAAACACCAAGTGTTTTAAACAAAAAACCACAGTGTTATGCTAAAAACAAAGTCGTTCCCCTTGAGGATGCCCGTACACACACATCACGTTTCACTAAAAAAAAATATACCGAGGGTGCACCCCTCGATACGGCAGGCACCAAGTGCCTCCGGACATTTGCGTCCAACACGCAAATAACACCCTTCCCTGAAACACTTTCCGAGCCATTCCCCAAGGGAATGGCAGGCAACGGACGATGTACCGGGCCCAGAATTCGACTTTCACAAACAAAACGCTTCTCGCGCTATCCCCCAAGGGGAAGCAGGCAACAGACGATGTCTCGGGTTGAGGGAACGACTTTCAAAAATGACACGCTTTCCGCGCCATCCCCCAAGGGGAGACAAGCAACAGACGATGTCTCGGGCCGAGGAAACGACTCTCACACCCTGAAGGTCAAACACCGAGGGGGAGCTAGCGGTTCATGCCGTTGTCTCCCAAACTGACCAAGTTTCTTGAACCCCCCCCCCCCCCCCCAAAAAAAAATAATTCAATAAGAAGTTAGCAATTGGATTGGATTGGATTGGATTGGATTCAATAAGAAGACCTGAAGTGATGCAATCAACAGGGGATATACATGCGTTGCACTCTTTTTTTTCATGACCAAGGTTTTGTCTCACTGGATTTTCCTCGGCAAGGTTTTTAACGAGGTAGCTTTACGAGTTTATATAGAGAAAATAATTCATATTTGTAATGTTTTTATTTAGTAATGTACATCCAAAAGGGAGTGTTATGTAATGGTGTGGATGTCCATTAATCCCCAAGTCCATATGTTCCGGCCCATAGCAAGTGTAACTCTGGTTCCCCGGCCCGGTGGGATGGCGGTTCGGGCTCGGGCCCTTCAAAAGGTGAACCGGTCCGGCAGGTTCGGGCCCGGGCTGGGCCAATTTTTTTTTGTTTTTTGAATTTTTTTTTAAGTTTTTGGGTTGGGCTGGGCATTTTGGGCCATTTGAGGTGGTTAGGGTTGGTTTGGGGGTGTGGGGGAGGGTTGGGGGTTAACTAGGAAAAGCCAAAAAAAAAATAGAACTGAGGCCCGGCCCGGACCCGGGGGTTACCCGGGCCGGTTTCGGGCCTCCCCTTTGTGAACCGAGGCCCGGCCGGGCCTGAACCGGAACCGGTCCACCCCTATCCTTATATATATATAAATGGCTATATATGTGAATGAATGTGATGTTTTTGGCCTCTAGATCTATAACATTAACGTTTTTATTTACACTCCAATTTTTATAAAAAAAATATATATCAAAATTCATGATTTTTTATGTTCTTTCATATAAGATCAATATTATATATTTTTTTTTAAAAAAAATAAAGTTTTCTCAATTGGAGAAATTAGGTTCAAATATTTTATTAAATAAATCAGGGTGTTTTATTAAATAAATTATGGTAAAAATATTTTTTACTACATTAATTTGTTACTTTTTTAAAAAAAATCCATGGTAAAAAAAATTAAACTCCAAATTTAATTATTTTTATATCGGAATATTTGACTTTTTAAATCATAATTATTGGGGAGAACTATCAAATAAGCCCTCGAACTTTCATAAAAAGTGCAAATAAGCCCTTTTACAGGAGGCTTTGTTCGGCTGTCGCCATTCGGAGCGGTTTCGGTGGAATTTTTTTATGAAAATTTTTTGAGAATCTTCTTCATTAAGTCTAGTTTACTCATATCAAATTTCAGCTAAAAATTCAATCAAGAAAGCCGTTAAATGATTTTCTGAAGTATACTACGCTGTCTAACTGCACAGTTATCTTCAAAATTTCATTTGACTGCCTTCTCGATTGAATTTTTAGCTAAAATTAGGTATGAGTAAACTAGACCTAATGAAGAAGATGCTCAATAAATTTCAACAAAATATTCCACCGGAAACCACCCTAAATGAAGACAGCCGGACAGAGCCTCATATAAAAGGGCTCATTTGCACTTTTTATGAAAGTTCGAGGACTTATTTGATAGTTCTCCCTAATTATTGACAATAATAAAATTGTCACATAAATGAGAAAACGTAAGGACTTATGCATTTACTAAAAAAATATGTGTTGAGTGGTTATATTGACGATGATGGATTGCAGAAAAAAACTAAATTGACTGAATGAATACGTATAAATTGGTGGAAAATTGGATTTATTGACAAACTAGGTTGCAGTTAGCTTTAGCATAGCTCTATTGTAATTATGGTTGGACTCAGGTCGGACAACCCGGCCCGGCCCGCTACTGTGCGGGACCGGGACCGGCCCGGTTCTCGGGTCCAGGTCCAAGTCGGGCCTAGGCCCAGGGGGTAGGGCAGGTCCGGGCTCGGGTCTCAATTTTGGTGAACCGGCCCGGTTAGGTCAGGCCCGGGCCAAATTGAATTTTTTTTATTTTTTTTTCATTTTTGGGGTTCCACCCGGGTTGGGCTTGATGGGTAGGATGGGTTTGGGAGGGTGGGGGTAGGGGGGTTAGGAAAGCAAAAAAAAAAATCCAAACCGGAGGCCCGGCCCGGCCCGGACCCGGTGGCTACCCGGGCCGGTCCCGGGTCCACTATTCTTGAACCGCCGGCCCGCCCAGGCATAGGCCCGACCCGGACCCGAGTCCATCCCTAATTGTAATTATATAATCTAATTATACCAAAACTTCACAAGATTTGTAGTGATTTATCGTAGTTTCACTTTCAACTCAACTTCAACCTGACATAACAAAATCAAATTAGAGTACTCCGTAGGTTCAAGTCCGAATAAATTGGGGTACGGTCCTACGGTGCACAATATTACTTCATGTTTTTAGTACTTGGATGTAGAAAATATCAAATTTACAGTTTGCCCGAATGTTGAGCAAATCATTCCAAAAAATCCCCACAAAGGTCCATACCCTTCCAAATTTTCCACTAATGGATAGGGACAAATACTTGCAGATTTAAAACAAAAGGATAAAAAAAACATCACGTAGGTTTATAGATTGAAGGGGTCCACCCTCCATCTAATTAATGTTGAAATTACGCTTAGCAATTAGGTTAATCGCAGCCACTGTTACCAGTTCATTCAACAGCTTGCAAGATTATGCCATCACAAGCCGCCGCCGCCGCCTCGCCATTCATCATGTTATCTGTACCATCACAATCAGAACCGATAGAAACACCTACAACATCTGTTTTTCGTTTCTTAAGAGCTTCCTTTGTCTTCTGCTTAGTGCCAGACTCATCCTTCTTTAAAGCATTAGTGAGCACTTCCTCAGCACCAGCAATTGACGTCTTATCGGTCGCATTGGCATCATCCTCTTCAGAAGAAGAATCTGTGTCACGGTTATCCTCAAAAGCAGAAGAGCTCTGAAGTTTCTCTATAGCATCCATAAGATCTCTATTTACCTGCATCCATGAAATAGAAGACAGAATTTAGTGACACGAGTATTATAGAAACACTCAAGGACTGCAAAAGAAAAAAAAACTTTTTTGAGCACTATAAGAGAACCTCGGGATTCTGTAGAAACTCAGAAATGTCGAGAGGGCACATAGGGCATTTCATGACATTCTTCTGGGAGCGTAGCTTTCTTCCATTTAGGCATCCCCTCTCTTTTGTGAATGTTTGGCCTTTAAATGCCCCCTCTAGACAAGTCTTGCAGAAGTTATGAGCACAAGGTGTCGTGAGTGGTACATTCAATACATTGCCACAAAGCAGGCAGCTGAATCCTGCATAATATTAGAAGCCACTTTTTAAAACGGCCAGAACAGGCAAAAGCGAGCAAGAAGATATCATTATATATTCGTAAGCATCCTTCTTGCTTATTTTACCTTTCAAAAGTTTTTCTTTGAATGATTCATGCTGTGCTCTCTTTATTGCCTTCCTTGCTCTTTTTCTGTCCACAGGGTTGCTTTCAACTACTTGTTTCTGATTGCTAGAAGGTGGTGCCCTTTTCCATCCCCAACGTTTTTCCACCTCCTAACCAAAGAAATGTCATTCAGGTCATAAAACTATTGAAATAGTCCCAAGTGTTTAACTCTACATAAGACTGATGCCCCAAGGAAAAGCAATACGATTAATGAAAAATGCACTTGGAGCATACTGACAGTTTCCTGTTGAGTAAAAATATAAGCGAAGTAATCAAAGTTTGTAGCTTTGTTCTCCTCCAGCAGCCAAGTCATTAGATTAACAATATACTACGTAGTATATTGAGTAGATTTAAGAGAATGAGAAAAGATAATATCTTACATTATAGTCCCATGATGGACTTTCTGACCTCTCAAAAACATCGACCGCACTTTCAAGCTCAGGAATGACCGGTAAAGGCCTTGGGAAATCTCCATGGTCATCACTGTATTTAAAGATTTGAGAAATCATGAAAACAGCTATTTCTATATGGAGTTGATACATAGCAGGAAGCAACTTAATATATCAGACCTTGTCCAAGGTGCCGGTTCATTATCACATCTAACAAATAAGTACCTGCACATCTTAAAACCCTGGCAAATAAAAATGAAGTGTCAAAGACACCTCCCAGAGCACTATAAAAACAAGATGCATTCATAAGACCAAAATTCAGGCAACAATCACCTGCTTGCCTATTTTTCTCCAGCACTTCTCAATCCTGTAGACCCCATCATACCGCAAATGTTGGTCTGGAGCATAAGAGGAACGCTTCTCTTTCTCAGATCTGTACATCAAAATAATAAAAATACAGCTGAGGTTGGAGAAAACAAATACGTGAATGCTTGTTGTTTGTGTAAGATTCTACTCCGCTAAGACACATAAACCAGGATAGAATAGAAAATGTTATTTGCAAAAAAGTATCAGTTCCGTTAAAATAGTAGCTAGTATCTCCAGACAATAAAAAAGAGATTTGAAAGACCAGTGCTAATAATCACAAAGATACTGCAGGGGAAGCACCTCACAACACGGACTGGATATCCTTTCTGACAGCTAACTAGCAAAGCTTGATTAGAGCTCTCAAATTTCTGATCAAATGACTGATCCTTGTTTGTTCGCTTGTTGCCACTTAGATCTCTCCCTCCACTGCATTGTTTGAACACAAAGCAGATAAACTGTAAGTTCATATCACAAGATGTTTCAGGTTAACTATATAGGATTTGGGAGAGACAACATATCATACATGAGGTGTGGTGTATAAACAGAAATATGAATCACACAGTTCTACAATAAACACTACGTAATTCAATTTCAGTCATTCAGAAAGCTACAATACTCCTGCAACAAATCAAATTATTATGATAACTTGCTTTTTTATACAGATTACCATCATAGACTGGAAGTAACAGAAAAACTGTCAAGTAGAGTTTTTATGTTCCTTAAATTTAAGGAACCTACAAGTGAAGTTTTGAAATCACAAAAAACGTACCTTCCAGTGTACAGAAACCATTCTCCGTGATCTTCATCGTCTTCGTAGCCACCAGATAGGACAACTGATTGTGCGCCATGCTTTGATTGCCCAGCAATTCCAGCAACATGAGGACGATGCACACCCCACTGGGAGCAATCCACACGAAATTTCCATGAATCTCCCACTAGGACACCTCTATTTCTTTCCGGATCATTCTCAGCTGGAATAGGCCCAAAATGATCTTTAGGGACCGTGACAAGTGTCCTCCCAGTGCAAGCATTTGCCATCCCAGTTTTCTTTGCCCTATCCGTGGTAAAAGCGTTATCTGGGCGATCTTGATTACACATATAATGGTAGACTGTCTTAGGAACTCCTGTAGCAATAGTTCTTGAAACTTTAGCAATCCTTATGGCAGCTACAAGGGTGGAGTTGATACGTGGCTGGCTCACCATCTCAGTAGGAATTTTGCGCCGGCATTTTATACAAGTTCTTTTTCCTTGGCCAATCCATTTCTGGAAGCACTTCAAGCAAAAATTGTGCCCGCAAGGTGTCTGAAACATATGACATATGAACACATGTTCACAATCAACATAAATATCATCTAAAAACAATGGACATAAAATATGTGACCAATGAATCAACATAAATATCATCTAAAAACAGTTGATTAAACTCATTAAAGGTTCCTTATGATGACTAAAAATACCTGCGCCTCACATATGACATACCATTTTCTAGTAGTTGAAATATGGCACTACTTTCCAAATATGGCAGTATTTAATCATATTCGTTGAATACAAATCACAATACTCATTCTTTGGAATAACATTATGTTTACTCCTACTTAGGGCAAATTCTTATAAAACAAACAAAATGACATAGAAAGCTCAGAACTATTTATTTGGACTACTCCCCAGACCCATCACAGATTAGAACGGTCCAGCCATAAATGATTATTTATACTTTCATAGTTGGACCAATTGGTAAGGAAATCACTGGTTAAAACGCTGAAAGCAGGTCAAACTATGATGGGCGGGGTTCTTTTATGAAATCGTGAGAACAATGTTAAGTATCCAAAACCGCAGTGAGAAAACAAACAGAAAATGTTTTTAACGTTTTAGAAGAACTGAATAACTATGACTAAGGTAAATTTACCTTAGTGCCACATTACTTGACTTGATTCTAGTGCGCATGCACATTACCGTTGTACGGTGCAATGCACTATGCATAACTATGTCATTAGAGTTTCCACAGTCTACACATAGTACAGGATTAATGAGAAGAAACCCTAGATGAGGATTTTTACCGAAACCGGCCTATCAGGAAGCTGCATACAGAAGGAGCACTGGAAGCTTTCTCCCAGCACAGACAACACATCGGTCTTCCCGTCGTTTTCCTCTTCATTTCCATTCTCTTCAGCTTTACCGCTAAGCAGATCTTGTCGTTTCCTGGCCTTCTCCCGCTCCGTCAACGACTGGTCGGCCTCGATGGCCAGAATCCTATCCACCAGGCTATTACCTTCGGCTGGAGCCCGCGCGGGAGGTCCGCTGGTCCCGATTTCTGTGCAGTCGGGGCATTTGAACTCACCGGTTAATTCCATGCTCTGAGACAGCACGCCTAGGCAGGCGAGGTGCCAAGGAGTGGCGCAGGTAGCGCAGGTTAGCGTCTCCTCCTCCGCCGGCGTGGCCTTGCATCGCATGCAGACGCCGTCTCCGTCGACCGGGAGTTGGCTATCGTGGGCCATTGTAGCGCCTCGAAAATGTGAAGATAGTGCGCTCCTTGGGAGCAGAGCAAAAGGTACAGGGAAGAGAAGCGAGAAGTGGTGAAGGCGGAGGTTGCGGATGGGCTGTTATTTATATTTCAGTGAGAGATAGGCGGGCTTCGAAAGAGTTGAAGGGGTTTTGAAAAGGAGTGCTGATCGAGTGTGCTTAAGCGCATAGCAGTGGATGTTCACTTTTTTCAAATTTCAAAATGCACTGACTACTTGAGTTGTTTGAGAAGGGTTGTTGTATGTCTTATTTTGACTTTTTATTTAAATAATTTTATCATTTTCTCCTATCTCAATATTAGTGGTGAATGTAGTACAAAAATGTGAAACTAAAAACATAAAGCATAAACGTGAAATGCATAGAACAACGTTTTAAAGAAAATGTGGGAGAATTCGCAGATTGTACTACTGGATTTGTATTTTGACTGCATTTACTATTCGCAGAAAAAATATCACATGAATGTGACATTGAAAAACTCGAAATATAAATATGGAAAATATTAAACTGAATTTTAAAAAATGCGGGACATGTGATGCGGTTTTTTTCAAATTTCAAAATGACCGACTACTTAAGTTGTTTGAGAAGGATTGTTGTATGGATACTATTCCAATCCTTAAATGTTTGTCACACTTTGACTTCACAAGTTTTAAGGAGATGAATTTGACTTTACACCGTAGCGACATTGTTTCACACTATAGCGGCACTATTTGGCACTGTTTTGCACTGTTTGACACTGTTTGATATAGATTTATTTACCAAATAAGGAAGTTGAAAAAGTATGAAACATTTTGGGACATCCGTTTCGGGAAAGTGTGACAAACGTTTAGGAACAGAGGGAGTATGTCTTATTTTGTCTTTTTATTTTAAATAAGTTTATAATCTTCCCATGTCTCAATGTTAGTGGGTGAATGTAGTATAAAAATATGAACTATATTGGTTATTCACTCACCTAACTAGTACAAAAATGTGACACTAAAAACAAAGAGCATAAATGAGAAATGCATCACACTGCGTTTTTGAAAAAAATGTGGGAGACTACTCAGGGATTGTACTACGAGATGTGTATTTTGATTGCAGTTACTATTCGTGGAAAATATCACATGAATGCGACATTGAAAAACTCGAAATATAAATATGGAAAATATTAAACTGAATTTTAAAAAATGCAAGACACATAATGTGGTTTTTTTCGGATTTCAAATTTTCTGCCAAATTTAGTTACACAATATTTGTTTTTTCGAGACATTAAACGACATTTAAAAAATACGGAATTAGTGGCAAAATTTTAAAAGTCCGTGGATTTTAAAAGTTTAAGTGTATTCAATGTGGACTTTTAAAAGTCTACAAAAATCTAGATGTATTCAATGTAGACTTTTAAAAGTCTATAAAAGTCTAGGCATATTCAAAGTTTCGTTCATTCTTATGGATTTTTAAAATCAAGGATTCTCGTGGACTTTTAACTCATTTTTAGTACATTAATTCTTTTCGATTGTCTCTTCTCCTCACTAAAGATTTCCGTGGACTTTTCTTATATCGGTTCTTCATCCCGTCCCCCCACCCCACCCCGCCAACTCTCTTCTTCTTTAGTCAAGTCACCCATTCCCCTTCGATCTTTCTTCTTCTTCAGCCTAGCTCGCTCCACCCCTTTCCTTCCATTCTTTTTCTTCTTCAGCTTGCCCCACCCCCCTCTATCCGTTAATCCCATACTGGTTCAATTCTAGAAGTTTCTAGAAGAACTGGTATAAGAATCGATAATATCACATCAGTGCAGTTCTGGTACGTCGTCACTTAACCATTAAGAAAATAAATATTTTAACTATTACTTTCTTTCATCGTTAAATCGCTAACACATAAAAATATAATTTCAAATTAATAAATATATAACCGTAAATAAGTACACAAAATTTTACAAGATAGAAATGAAAAGAAAACAATTATTAAGAAGATAAACTCGGTTGCAACTGTGCTTGTACCACATGTAGAAATGGGTGTAACGGTGGTGTAACGATTGATATTCTTACTCATTAATAAAAATGACCAAAATTCTTGAGCATTCTTGAAACTTTGAGTTTTTTTTAATAAAAATAAATTTGGATTTTTATGCTTCATTTGTTCTTGTAGAAATTTGTGTTGCTGTATGAATTACATTTGTTTCATTTATTTATTTGTTTGTTGGGAAAACTGTCAAATAGGTCCTCGAACTTTCATTAAAAGGTCAATTAAGTCCTTCTATAGGAGGTTCTGTCCGGCCGTTGCGATTTGGGGCGGTTCCCGGTGGAATTTTTTGATGATTTTTTTTGAGCATCTTATTCATCGGGTCTAGTTTACTCATACCAAATGTCAGCTAAAAATTTAATCGGAAACACATTCAAATTAATTCGTGAAAATAACTGCGCATTTTTGCGTTCTCGAATTAATTTGAATACGTTCCCAATTGAATTTTTAGCTGAACTTTGGAATGATTAATTAGACTTGATGAATAAGATGCTCAAAAAAGTTCATCAAAAAATTCCACCGGGGACCTCCCCAAATTGGGACGGCCGGACAGAGTCTGCTATAGAAGGACTTAATTGACTTTTTTATGAAAGTTCGAGGACCTCTTTGACAGTTTTCCCTTATTTGTTTGTTTGTTTGTTTCTTATCATACTCTGTATTATACAAAGGAAATTATTCAGAGTAGGACTAAAACATACAGAGTAGCATTCTTCTTAAAGAATGATCATATGTTTGATTTTCCTTAAATAAGACTAAATATTACATATTCACCCCTAATTTAATTAATTAATATAAGTAATTGTCCATAATTCCCTTGCATAACCAAATCGACTTTGTTCGTGGCGGATCAGTCCGATGACGACAGCGGGGAACTCAAGTGATGGAGGCGGATGGGCATATCGGTAGTGGCGGTCTAGGTGAAAATTTCGACGACCAGCAGTGGTGGTTCGCATTTAAAAGTCTATGGACTTTTTGAAAGTCAATAAACTTATCCATGGATTTAAAAGTCCAAGGAATTCATTCATAAAAAAGTCTATGGATTTAAAAGTTCATTGACTTTTTTAAAAGTCCACGGATTAAAAAAAATCCAACACAATCCATATTCAATACACCCCCCTAAGTTTGGAGTATTTTTATGGAGCCATATATGATTCTATTATGGAGTCATGTAGACTAGGGTTGTAAATGAATCGAATAATTTTGATCCGATTCACGATTCGAATTCGAAATATTCGAATACGAATTCGAAATATTCGAATACGAATTCGAATACGAATCAATTTTATTATTCGAATAAATTTCGAATACGAATATGAATATACATATATTCGATTCGTAAGTTATTCGAATATATTCGATTTGTATATTTACGAATTATAAATATATACTCAATTATATTTATAATTTATATAATTGTTTAAAATTAAAATATCTGTGGGCACAAACAAAAGTTGTCTGTGTACACAGACAACTTTTATCTGTGTACACAGACAATTCCGTACAAGTTGTATACCCTATCATGCTCGTTTTTTCAATGGTGCGGGAGTGGTGCCTTTGAAGTTGACTCAAATGTCTTTTCAATCTTTATCATCTTGTTAAATCATCACTTCTTGAAAAAGTAGGCAACATTAGCAGGTCACAGTGTCACACATTTCAAAACCTTCAAGAACGAGCCCCTCCCCTGAACTGAACTCGAAGGGCTAACTAAGCTTAGAATTGGTTGGCTTCTGGTTAAAATGCGATGGAATCGTATAAAAATCGTAGGATTTAAATTCGGTTCGGTTCTAGTTAAATTCAGTTCGGTTCTTACTTTTTTTCGGTTCCTTATAAAAATTTATTATTCTCCTGAAATCAACACCTTTTTCCTTCAGTTACATAAAAAAATTCAAAATTTAAATCATGAAATTATGACCATTACATTATACATACATGATATCTCAATGTTCAAATATAAAAAAATAAGCAAGTGCAACATTAAATTTAAACATAACAAAAATCTCGATTTAAAATAAGCATCAACTGTCAAGCAAATGGTTCAATAGTTCCAAAGTGCACATCCAATAGCAGATAGTTCAACCTCAAAATAGTATTCTAATACCAGTAATGCACAATAAGTAAAAAGTACGTAGTAATAAACAACGTAATCAACAGAATATTAATTCCTTTTTGAGGTGAACTCCAATAACAAATACAATTACAAACAAACAATAGATATAAAAGTGGACTAAAGTATTAAAATAATAACTACTTGGATTGGCCTGGTCCACAATATATAAGTTAAATAATGCAAAAAAAAAAAATTGACAAGAATTTTCTGCCCGGAACGTCGTCTGGACACCTCCATTTAAGGTGCTTCCGTGTAGAATTTTTTGATAAACTTTTGTGAGCATGTTCTACATGAAATGTAGATTATATATACCAAATTTTAGCTTAAAATTCAATCGGGAAGTGAGTTAAATGAAATATTGAAAACCATTGTATGTTTTTATATATTTTGGCGTAATGCTTTTCAATAATTTATTTAACTGACTTCCTGGTTGCATGTTAAGCTCAAATTTAGTGGACATAATCAGTATTTAATGAACAATAAGCTCAAAAAAATTCATCAAAAAATTCTACCTAGAAGCACTTCAAATGAAGATTACCCATAAAATGTATAAGAAGTTCAGTTCCTGGCTAGGAACCGGAACCGAATTGGAACCGAACCGGAACCGAACAAAAAAAAGCTGAAGTCCAAAATTATAGGAACCGAACCGGAAATTTCGGTTCGGATCAGATCGGTTTTCTCGGTTTTACGATTCCAATTCCCAGATCTAGGGCTAATCCTTGTTGTCAAAATTTTTGTCGTATAAGACTGATATATGAAGTGAATCAGACTATTTTTTTATCAGAGAAGGCTTGTTGAGCCCAAATTTTCTCTCTCTCTCTCTCTCTCTCTCTCTCTCTCATAGAAGGCAGATACGGTAAAGAGATGTGGGCAATACATGAAACTTGTGGAACAGGCGATGGTAAACGCTATAATTGTTGGCGTTTCTATATTTTGGCTGTTGGGACAAAAACCCAATTGAGAAAGCTACCTTTTTTTACTCCAGGGGGCGTCAAGGGGAGGGGGGTTGGGAGTCTGGAGTAATCTAGGCTGAAACTCACTTCATTGAATTTCGAACCCGAGACCTCCCGTAAGGGAGAGTGAGTTGGCGACCAGCTGGGCTGGACCACTTCCTCATTGAGAAAGCTAGCTAACCAAACATTCTCATTAGTTGATTGATCTGGTCAAAAAGCCAAATACAGTCAAATCAGCCAAAAATTGGCTGATAGGTTGTTAACCAAACACCCCCTTTTCAATTTGCAAATAAGTTTTTTTCCATTTTCAGTTCCTCGACTATTGAGTCAGTGACAGTTTTGGTACTCGACTTTCAATATTTTCATTTTTAATTATCGACTATCGTTCGAGAGACACTTTTAGTCCTCGATTTCAATGTTTTCCACATTTAGTTTCCTCAGTAATATAAAATTGACAATTTTAATCCTTCCACTATGAATTTGACAAAATAAATGGAGAACTAAAAATGTCACTATCATAATAGTTGAAAGACAAAAAATGTCACTTTTATGAAAGTCGAAAGACTAAATGTGAAAATTTTCAAAGACGGATATCAAAAGTGTTTATCGCACAATAGTCGAAGAATTAAAAGTGAAAAGACTCAAAGTCCAGTACCAAAAGTATCAATGACATAATAGTTGGAGGATTAAAAGTGACAAAATTTAACCAAATTTATTATCCACAGGACCGCAAGCCTAAATAGCACATACATGTGAAACAGAAAACGTGAATTGCATTAATCGACATTTTTTAAAATACTGTAGAACACTAAATGTACCTTTTTCAAATGTTTATTGTATTATTGGATTTAGTAATTTCACTATATTTGTTACTCATTAAACTAAATAGTACAAAAAACGTGAAACTGAAAACGTGAAACTGAAAACGTGAAACTAAATAGTGGACACTAAAGTTACTTTTTCAATTTTTAAATATATTGCCGGAGTTAAGATTCAATATGGGTGAGCTTCTAGGGGTGGTGACTCCGGCGATGACTAGCTTTTTGTCCAGCGGTGCTTCGCTCAGGTGAATACACCGCCGAGAAGGTCTTTGTTATTGGCTGCAAGAGGAGATCAGAAGGAGGATTTTGGTAGGGAAGAGTCAATGAGCATCTTATCGTGGAATTGTAGATTTGTAGATGACTGTACAAGAAGATGGCGATTGGAGCAGAGGAAAATGAACTGGATCTAGATGAAGCTGATGTTGAGGGTGTGGCGGATGAGCGGCGGGCGCGTCCCCCTCCTGAGCCGCCGCCATGGAGTGCAAGCAAATCTAGGGTTTGAAAAAAGATGAGTGAACTCTATTTTAATTGCGTTTTATTCAGTTTGTGTTTTTATTTTGAATTGCATGTTGTTTTGGACATGTTCTTTTTTTCCTAGTAGAGAAATTCTTAAAATTAGGTTAGGTGATGAGAAGTCTGGTTTGCCGGTCATTGGCTTAGTTATGTCCATTACAGGATCAATGAATGTTATTGCTTCTTACAGAGGTGATAGATTCTCAGTCTGGTTAGCGGACGGCAGACATAAGGCTTTTTATCATTTTGTTTACTCATTTTCCCTTGATTGTATTATTAGCCATGTGACGAACGTTATTTTGATTTAATATATTAGTTGGATTTGATGATAAAAAAAATATTGTCAGGGTTAGTAGTTTGACTACGTTTGTTATTCGTGGAATTAAGGATGTTTTTACTTAGTCTAAAATTTTCTGATCTTTTTGGGACTGGTCTGAACTGGTTTGGTATGATAGATATAGGTCTGTGTACTTCATATCTGTAGAGGTCTGGTTTGATTTGTTTAGATCTGGGACTAAAATAAGCTCAAGTAAAAACATATAGCAGATGAAATACATTAAACAAAATTTTAAGAAAAGACAGATACTAAATGTGGCTTTATGGAATTTCTAAGTTACTGTTAGATTTAGTTTAGCTTGTGCCAAAAAGTTGAATCCCCGAGATTAAATCATGATAACTCAATCAAACACAGAGACTAGATCAATGCCCACGACACACAAGGAGTCCCTACTTTGAGAGGTTGCTCTCACATTGTTGTTGACGGGACTGGATTCTGGATCACTTTTGCTAAACTTCACCCATGACGAGCTTTGTGGATTTAGTTTGGTTGTATTTGTTATTCGCGGATTTGACTAGCACAAAGATGTGAAACTCAAAATGGGAATCACAAACACCCAACATGTTACGTAGTAAATGACATTTAAAAATGTAGGACACTAAAAGTGGAGTAGCTTTATGGATTCATAGAGGCTATCATGGCATTATAACAAGGATTTGGATCCTTCTAGTAATTGGAGATTCAATTTGAGAGAGATAGAGGGGATTAGTGCGGAGTATATCGATGAATAAGATAGAGAAAAAGGTACAAAGCGATAGGAAGAAAAAATGGATGGAAAATGGAGAGGAAATTAACTCTTACAACAATCACTCACTTTAAGAGTGAGAACCTTATTAAAAATTAAGTCATGGTAGCAGTGTTCTACTTATTTGTTTATTTTAGTGGTAGGAGGATTGAGTGATTTAGGATGTTTTTACTTGGATTGTAATTTGTTGGTCTGATCTGGTCTGATTTCTTTATAATTTTATAACAATCCAATTCTGGTCTGGTCTGAACTGGTATGAGAGGAATTACGATCCAAGTAAAAACATCCTTAGTATAAATAAACATGAAAGTATCGTAATGTAGTGGGAATTTCACTAGCAAAGGGTGCTCCGTGCATACCCCATTTTTTCCTGATGATAGCTACCTATTTTTAGAGCTTGGGAAAAGGAATATGAATTACGACAATATTGCATATCTATTTTCCGTATATATACGTAGTACTCCCTCCATTTCACAATCTTTGACACACTTTCTTTTTTTTGGCTGTTTCACAATCAATGACACACTTCCTTATTTCCTTATTTGGTAAACAAATCTTTATCAAAACAGTGTCAAACAGTGCCAAACAGTGTCAAACAGTGTTCAAACAGTGCCAAACAGTGTACTCTACAGTAAAATTTACCCCCTGTAACATTTTTTCCTTAATTCTTGACAAGTCAAACTGTGTCAAAGATTGTGAAACGGAAGGAGTATATTCTTTTATTTTTTTTGATGTTACGTGTTTTCCCATATACTTGATTATAAAAATAAGGAAAATGATAATACAAGCTGAAGCACACATTAATGGTTATTAATTGATTATTCATGCTGCATGCACAAAAGGAAGAAGCAAATAGAACCTTGGATACCCATATCCTCAACAGTAGAATAATAATGGCCCCCATGGAAGAAAATAGATAATTACTCATTGGTCTCATTCATAATTTCTGAGAAGCTAGTCTAGTGCTTCAATGGCGGAGTGATAGCATACGCATATGTTGTCTTATAAAGGACCTCTCCAATTCTTAGGCCTGCCACTTCAGTGATGGGAACTGCATTTGATATCTCTTTCACTTCGTCTTCAGTTAGCTTCACCTTCACAGAACCAATGTTATCGTGCAGGTTTTTCATCTTACTTGTCCCTGCATTCAGCAAGTTCTGATTACATATTTCTCCATTGGTTTCTTAGAGTTTAATTGGCTTTGGAAAGATTTAAGTGGAGGGCGCAAATTCGTGTGAACGAGTGGTCTCTTTTCTATCTTTGCTCTTTTTTTTTATCGTTTATCTTCATTATCTTTTCATGTTCTAATGTTATTGTTATCTTATAAGTAGTATTTAACATCTTATCATTTTACCTTACTTTTCTTATCTTATCTTTCGTCTCTTTTTTACCCTCATATCATGGATCGATTCATATTAGCCGACCTCAAATTCTTTTGGGATTAAGACTTGGGAGTTTAATTGACTTTCGAACTAAATTAGGACGTTTTGAGTTCCATAAGAAATACAATATTTTGAGTGTAATACTATAATTGTAACTTGGAAATGGTTTGATTGGGGGCGCATCCAAGAATCGGGATTGGACCGGGCTAAAGACTAAGTATATTATGGTTAAATATTAGCGAGGTGGGTTAAATATGAAAGTGAAAAAATTAACACTAAAATATTGGGGAAAAAATAAGTTGACCTAGGATGTTTTTACGTGGATTGTAATTCCATCCAAACCAGACCAGATCAGATCAGTTCAGACCAGACCAGACCATACTTGGATAGTTATAAAAATAAAAAGAAACCAGACCAGACCAGTTCAGACCAGCAAATTACTGTCCAAGTAAAAACATCCCTAGGCTTCAACCTAGATCCAGTTTCGATAACACAAGCCAAATAATACTAAATATATAATTCAATTAATTAGTTAGTTTAAGTCAATACTTTTTAAATTCTTCCTTTTCTCTTATTTATTATTTCATGTCAATCAACACTTTTGTTTATGTGAGCTGAGTCAATCTTGTCAAAACTCTCAGCCCATTTTGAATCTTATTCTTATAACCAGTTACTAAGAGCCCGTTTGGCAGCATGAAAATCGGCTGTTTTGGCTGATTCTGTTGAAATTTATGAAGTTCTGGCTGAAGTGGCTGCATTGGCTGATTCTACTGATACAAGAAAAAAATATTTTTAAAATATATTTTATTAATAAAATAAAGAAAAAATTATATGTAAAAATAGCTAAAATGGTCATCTACAGTAACTTCAGCCAATACAGCCAGAAAAGTAACTACAACCTTACTTTTTCGGCTTATTACACAATTCAGCGCGCGAAAGCAAAATTTACGTGTTTGGTAAAAAAGTTGGCTGATAAGCCTCATAAGCCGAAAATGAGGGTTGCCAAGCGGCCTCTCTAAGACTTTGAGAAATTGTTATCAACTATAAGTCAAAATGTAAATAGGGAGAGGGCATACCAGGAATGGGCACCAAGTCATCACCCTTATGAAGAATCCATGCAAGAGCAAGTTGAGCAGGTGTGCATCCATGTTTCTTAGCTAGTTCTTCTAAACGAAAATATATTCCTTTGTTCTTTTCTAAATTCTGTGCAGTAAACCTGGGATGTTTTTCCTGTTGAATAGGGCCAAGTTTGGTTAGTCTTCAAACACTACAAGCTTTCGATTAGTTTTAAGAAATATAAATCTGTTTCAAGCGTACCATGGCGCTGTTAGCAGGCAAGCTCTCCACAACTGCCTTTCCACCAAACAGTCCACGACCAACAGGGCAGTATGAAACAATCCCAATTCCCAGTTCCCTGTTAATTTATTGAAGTGGCCTTTATAAGCCCCAAACTACATAGCTTAAATGACTCAATATGCTGAAATTTCTCAAAGGAAAATGTATTGATAACATCCTGTTCACCCAGAATAAGGTACTTATTCTGCTCATAAGTAGAATAAGCAAGAATTCTCTACTAAACATAGCCGGAACTCATTCGCTCCTTCATGTACAAACCTGCAAAGAGGTATGATATCGTCCTCGATGTCACGGGTCCATAAGGAGTACTCTTGTTGGAGAGCAGTGATGGGATGAATAGCATGTGCCCTCCTAACTGTGTCTGGGTGAGCTTCGGATAGGCCGACATATTTTATTTTACCTTCTTCAACTAATTTCTTTAGTTCTCCCATCTGAAGTGAAGCAAAATCACATAGGGCACACAATCAATCAGGACTCAAGTTATAACATGAGAAGAATTTCAATAAGGATTTCATGTGGAATTCAGATCAAATGAGTCCTGCATATTGATGAGGACCAAAATCTACAAACCATAGATCCTATATATTATATCCCCTCCGTCCCGGTTGTCCCATTTTACCTTTTCGGTCCGTCCAACTAAGATTGTACCATACAAAATTTGGTAAAGTTTGTGTGACTCTAAACCATTCTTAGTTTGTCGATTCAATATCAACTACATAAACCACCTTTTAGTGGTTTGTGTGTCACTCCCTCTTGTCTCATTGTTAGTGGGATGGAGGGAGTACGTTTCAATGGAGAATGAAGGAAATATTTCCTAGAATAAGTTATTCTAAAGAATAAAGACTGGACTGGACTTCTGTTATTGGGCCTATTATATTAAGCCCATCTTATATTTCATTTTAGAATAGCTAGAATAGCTTTATAGTATAAATACTGTATTACAAACCCTATTCTGTAACGATTGATTCATTCTTCTTTCTTCTTGCTCTGTAAACTGCTTCCGCTTCCAAGTTCTACAACTTCACATGGTATCAGATTAAGGCTTCGATCCTTACTGATCCTTTCTGTTTTCTAATTCTTCTTGAATCAATTTGTTCAAATTGTTCAAATCGATTTCCTTTTAATCGATTTCTTTCCAAAAACCCTAGAATCCATGGTTCTACCATTGAATCCACTCGAGCATCCTTCATCGCTATATTACCTTCATCCAAGCGATCACGCCGGCCTTCGAATCATATACGAGACGCTTACAGGAGATAACTTTGGTGCTTGGAAGAAGTCAGTCTCTATGGCTATGGCGGTGAAGAACAAAATGGGCTTTCTCGACGGATCAATTAAGCAACCAAATTCAGATGAGGCTCTATACTCTACCTGGTATCGTATCAATGCTCTTCTCCTATCCTGGTTGATCTACTTTATTTCTCCTAGTCTTCGCACTACATTCCTTTATTTTACCAATGCTAAGGAACTTTGGGATGAAGTTCAACTTAGGTATGGTAAAAGTGATGGTACTAGACTTTTTCAACTCAAAAAAACCCTAGGTAATCTTTCTCAAGGCTCTCGAAATATTACTGATGACTACAATTCTTTTAAAGAGCTTTGGGATGAATATTCTGATTTCAGAGTTATTCGTTCTTGCACTTGTGGTCAATGTACTTGCAAAATCTCTGAAACCTATCAAAAATTAATCCATAAAGAGTCTATTCTAAAGTTTCTTGTTGGACTGAATGAATTTTATGCTCATCTCAGAAGTCAAATTCTTCTTAACACTGAAAAAGCCACTCTATCTAGTATCTACTCCATTTTCTTGCAAGAAGAGTCTCAAAGATCTCTCCAGTATTCTGTTTCTTCCACTAATTCATTTTTAGAGCCTTTTGCTTCTTAAAATGTCAATACTGATGCTACTGCTTTTCTTGTTAAAAAGAATTCTATTACCTGTACTCATTGTGGCTATCAAGGTCATTCCTCTGAAAATTGTTTTCAAATCATTGGTTATCCTGCTAACCGGAAAGGTCCTAAAGGTCAGAGAGTTGCCCCTAGTTTTAGACCTCACCCTAATTCAAACAATAATCATCAAGCTCATATGGTGATCAACTACACTGAATCAACTCCACTCTCAACAACTTATACCACTGATTTTCTTGATCCTACTTTGTATGAAAAGTTTCTTCAATTCATGCAAACTCAACAAACTAAGACTGTGTCAGCTACTGTGGTTATTGTTGCTCCTAATTGGATATTTGATACATGAGCATCTGACCATATGGTTTATGATGATTCTTTGTATACTACTCCAACTAGAAATATTTCTATTAATATTCAATTACCTACTTGTAACTTTATTTCTGCCACTAAAATTGGTGACATTAAACTGAATTCTTATCTTACATTACATAATGTCTTATATGTTCCTAATTTCACTTATAACCTTATATCTATTTCCAGTTTAACTTCTCATGATAATTTCTCTATTTACTTTACTTCTAAACATGCTATATTGCAGGACCACCATACACACAAAATGATTGGCTCTGCTGATTTACAAAATGACTTATATCACTATCATTCTGATTCATCCATTATACATACTCCTTGTGTGCATTCTGCAAATACTCAACATAATGCTTCTTCAACTGCTCTTTGGCATTATAGATTAGGGCATTTCCCTTTTAATAAACTCTCTTTCTTGTCTGATTGTAATGAAAAACATTCTTTTCCATGTGATATCTGTCATTTTGCTAAACAGAAAAGACTTCCTTTTCCTATTAGTGCTTCTCATGCTTCTAATGCTTTTGATTTAATTCATATGGATGTTTGGGGTCCTTATAAAGTTACTTCTTATAATAGTTTTAGATATTTTCTAACTATTGTTGATGACTATACTAGATGCACTTCATTAGAACTGATAATGGTACTGATTTTTTTTTCCTGAATTTTATACTTCTAATGGTATTCTTCATCAACTGTCTTGTGTTGAAACCCCTCAACAAAATGGTAGGTTGAAAGAAAACATCAACATATTTACAAATTGCTAGAGCTCTTTTATTTCAATCATGTCTGCCTATATCTTTTTGGTCTGATTCTATTCTTACTACTGTCCATATTATTAATAGATTACCTACTTCTGTTCTTCAAAATAAATCCCCTTATGAATTATTATATAATCATCCTCCTGATTATACTCATTTAAAAGTCTTTGGTTGCTTGGTTTTTGCTTCTACGATTTGTTCTAATTGAACAAAATTTGATTCAAGAGAACATAAAAGTATTTTCATTGGTTATTCTTTAGGATCTAAAGGATACAAATTATATGATTTAAACACTCATAAACTTTCATTTCTAGGAATGTAAAGTTCCATGATATGATTTTTCCTTATAAACACAATGCTTATGAAAATAAGACTGATTCAAATTTCATTTATCCTCCAAATAATAATTCTGTTACTGAATATCTGAATACTATTCCTCATACTTATTCTCAAAATTACATAAACAATGAAATCAATGATGAATTATATCTCTTTCAATCAAATAATACTGATTCTGTTACTAATGATTCCTCTAGTACTCAACAAACAGGTAATGATCAGAATGATCACAATGTTCCTGAAAACAGTTCTCCAAGGAAATCCACAAGAGTAAGATATGTACCTATTCATTTAAGAGACTTTGAATACAACTTAACAAACTCTATTATTCCTAGTACTTCTGACTCTTCATGTAATTTTGTTAGATATCCTATTCAATATTATATTACTTACAACAAACTGAGTTCCTCTCATCATTGTTTTACTGCATCTCTTTCAAAAATTACTGAACCTAAAACTTACAAACAAGCCATTAAATTTTCTGAGTGAAAAAATGCTATGAATACTGAAATTAAAGCTCTTGAAAATAATAATACCTGGACTCTTGTTGATCTTCCTAAAAATCAACATGTTATTGGTTGTAAATGGGGTTTTAAAACTAAACTAAAATCTGATGGTTCTCTTGATAGGTATAAAGCCAGATTAGTGGCTAAGGGCTATACTCAAGAAGAGGACCTTGACTATTTTGATACTTTTTCTCCTGTTGTAAAATTAACTATTGTCGGAATACTTTTAGCTGTTGCTAGTTCAAAAAATTAGTATTTACATCAACTAGATGTAAATAATGCTTTTTTACATGGAGATTTAAATGTAAACATTTATATGCAACCCCCTCCTGGTTACTTAGTTGATAATGATCACAGAGTTTGTAAACTTCTTAAAAGTTTATATGGTTTAAAACAAGCTTCTAGACAATGGTATTTTAAACTTTCTGAATCTTTGAAATCTTTTGTTTATAAACAGTCTCAAGCAGATTTCTCTCTTTTCACTAAAGCTACTGATATTTCTTTTACCGTAATCTTACTCTATGTTGATGATCTTATTCTTGCAGGTAATGATATGAATGAAATAAACTCTGTCAAATCCTTTTTACACCATAAGTTTACTATTAAAGATCTTGGTGAACTTAAATAATTCTGTCAAAAAAATTAATTTTGGACTTATTAATCTTACACATATTCCTAACAACTGTCAATTTGCAGATATATACACCAAACCACCTGGGAATCCACTCTTCAGTTAGTTTACAAACAAGATGAACCTGTTGGACATCCATGCTCATCTTGAGGGGCGTCTAAAGAATAAAGACTGGACTGGACTTCTATTATTGGGCCTATTATATTAAGCCCAGCTTATATTTCATTTTAGAATAGCCTTATAGTATAAATACTGTATTACAAATCCTATTCTATAACGATTGATTCATTATTCTTTCTTCTTCCTCTGTAAACTGCTTCGGCTTCCAATTTCTAAAACTTCACAGTTATGCACATAAATCCATGAGCATGAGGCCTTCGATAAGTGCACAGAAAATATTTGTATTGAAGGGTCCAAAGTGATTAGATTCTATACAAAGTTTGCTAGTACTAGTTGTGAATAATTAACAAAAATATAGGAGAATAAGGACGCTTACAGTTTCCTCTATAGGCACACTCGTGTCAATACGATGTACATAATAGAGATCGATGTAGTCGGTTTGAAGGCGTTTCAGGCTAGCCTCACAACAAGATCGAACATATTCTGGTGTTCCTTTAACCACAACACTTGTAGGCTCAACTTTATATATACCAAACTTCGTAGCAAGTTGTACTTTTTCTCTAGCTAAAAACTTCAATGCCTGCAACGATCAAATTTAACATAACTACGTCTAAGAGTAAAAGGAAAAAAAATAGTTCAAAGAAATGACTTTAAAAAACATGTATATAAGGAAAAGGTTATAATATTACTATAAACACTCCGTATATCCTACACTCAACTAGAAATAATGAAATATTTGTTTGTCAAAACACATTGTGGTATCATATCTTACTTCTCCTTTGATTCCAGGATTATCTTCACAATGTTTTTTAGATAAAACATTTCATGGTTGATATAGTTTATAGTTCATATATAATCCTCTTGATAGAAAGACAGTATCCGCACGGGTAACTCAGTTGGTCGAGTGGTGGGAGATTTGGAACAATGGACCAAGGTTCGAATCCTCGCAGCGACCGGGTGGAGGTCACAGAACCTGAAATAAGACTGGACCTCTGGTGCGCACGGGTGTATAGGCCTACTGTCATTCTGCTGACTGAGTCACCGTGACTAACCTCTCCACCATCCTGTCGGGTCGGGGTGGGGGGCTCCTGGGGTGAGAGATTCCACCTTTTACGGAACAAAGGAACAATTGATTTGTATCTTTATAACATTCAGTCAGAGGCATAGTTAGCGGGCCAAGTCGGGTCCTGAGTCCCCCAAATTTGTAAGAAAATTATATTTATGAATAGAGTAAATTCTCTAAATAAGAGTAAAAAAGTTTTGAAATTCCAAAATAGGAGTATCATGTTTTTTATTCCCTAAATAGAAGTAAATTTCTGCCAAGTTTGGCATTACTAGGCTATTAAACATGTCATTTTTTCCAAATTTGGCAGATTATTCCTATTCAAGGAATAAAAAACATGATACTCCTATTTTACTCCTATTTTACTTGTTTTTACTCCTATTTAGGGCAATTTCTATTATGAATAATAAACATATAAAAAAAATATTTATAACAGCCAACACCGATGCTTTGTCCTACTTTGAAGTGTGATTTTGTTATTTTTGAGGCAGACCAACTTTGAAGTGTGATTTTGTTGTTCAATCTTGATCAGCTTTAATTACTTGTTTAAGCTTAAGAGCTTCAATTAAAAATTGGGACTTGTTCTAATTACGAAAAGGTAATTTGCTAGAATAAGTAACTCAAAGATTTATATAATAGATTTTACTTTTTACCTTTGAACTTGCAAATGTGGTACAGTTTAATTTTTTTTGCCAACACTTCACCTGTTATAATAAGTGGCATAGTCAAGCGTATATACTACGCTAGACCAGTATAAAGAACTTTTTTGGATAATTTTTTAGAGAAACATTTTATACTAATAATCAAAGATTTTTTGTGTTGTTCTTATGGGAATCAGCACCACCTATTGATACAAGGACTAACCGCCGACCAGCTAGCACCACAATGTGGTGCAACCTCTCATGTTCACCCACCGCTTAGTAGTGGGGTTCCGCATTGATGTAGCGATACCCCATAAGAATCTACATTGACTTGATTACTACAAATTAAAGAGTTAAATGGAAGTTCACCACCTTATACCGATTGGTTTTAAGAACGATATGGTTGTTATTTAACTATGGAACTCTATAGTTAAGCGAGCCCGAAGTAGAAAAGCCCAAGCATGGGTGACCAACTGGAAAATTTGAAAATAGGAACAAATCGATCCTACATTTTGAAATTTGGAGCGCGTTGAGGCTTGATTTTCGAGGTAAAAAGCATAGAAGGCGGTTCAAGCAATAAGTGGTAGAGACTCGATGGGTCTCCAAAACAACTTTGCACACAAAATATTTAGTCAAGATGAATAGTGTATCGATAATGACACACATGTAGAGAATGTGTGGTTATGAATGCACGAAGGTAGCAATACCTTTATTAATTCAATATCAATCACATAAACTTATTTTTCTTATTAATCAGACCACATCATGTCTCAATGTAGGTCTGTCAATGGGTCTCATCTAGACCCGGACCCGACCCGGACTCAGTTGTTTTTAATGGGTACAAGTCTATATTTTATTCGGTTTACCCAGACGCAGATCCGGACCCGTTAGTATTTTAAATAAACGGGTCGGGTATGGTACATATGATTCCGACCCGTTAAGGACCCGGACCCGTTTAAAATATCTTATTTGTATACACATACACTAATACATAAAGTGATCAGTTATAACACTTTAAATAAAATAGAAACTCATATACATAAATACATAATAATACATAAAGTTATTAGTTGTGAATTTGTGATTATTCAATAAAAATATACACATTAATACATAAATACTATCTAAATGATACTGATCAAGATAGTAAGATACCCTAAAACTAATGCTCATTTTGGCCGTAAATACATATTGATAAAGTGTGTATTGGGCTTGGTACGAAAAGCACAATATTTATTACTATTATTATTAATATTATTATATCATTATCATATATAATACTACATATGATTTTATACTCTTAGTAGTCCAAGAGACCTTTTTATGACTTAATTTCTAGTTTATTCTACGAGCTTTTTAGATAAAAGTACTAATTTTCTATGAGACACCTTGATTTTTTTTGAAAAGTGAACATATATTTTGCTTTTAAATTTGTACACTTTGCTTTATATTTCACATACATGTCTTATTATTTTCACAAAGTTTACAATGGTGTGCGTACCATACTTGGCGGGTGGGTCTACCCAACCCGATTCCGAGACCCGTTGGGTCTGGGTCTGGATCCAAATTTTCAGACCAGCCGAGTAAAATGATCGGGTCCGGGTCCATTATTAACTTAGCGGGTCCGAGTCTGGAACACTATGTTCCGACTCAGACCCGACCCATCGAACGGCCTATCTCAATTTAGATGAGAATGAGGTAGCAGTAATTTGAGTCATATTAACTTATGTAATCTTAAATGATCACGAAAATGATAGGTTTTATTTTTTTGAGTCATACTAGGGTAATTTTAATCGTAATTTTTTAAAGGAATTTTATCGATCTAGGACCTGAAAGATAGACAAATTATCAATTCGGGACCTGAAAGATAAAATGTATCAGTATAAGACTCGAAACAGGAAAAACTATCAATCTAGGACCTAACATTTCATTGATTTTGATTTATTTAATTTTTATTAATTCCATTGCTAATATTTGGTGAAATTTTCTTCACAAAAGTTTATTAGTTTAATAAAACTAAATATTTTTAAAATTTTTCAAAATAAAAATAATAATAAAATATATGAAAACTTAGGTCCTAAATTGATAGTTTTCGATCATTCGGGTCCTAGATTGATAGTTTTCCCTCATTCGGGTCTTATACTGATTCATTTCATCTTTCAGGTTTCGGATAGATAATTCGTCTATGTTTCAGGTTCCAGATTGATAAAATTCCTTTTTTAAATAGGTTTTATTTCAATAATATTTTTTGAAAACCCTTCTTATTTTATTTTGGAAGAAAGCAACTTCACCTTCCCAACCAGGAGCTCATTAGCATGGTCTGCGCCATAAATGTCGGCAGTGTCGAAAAAGGTCACACCTTTACTGAAATTTTCCCTCATAATTGCTATCCCTTCCTCCTCTGGAATCGGATTGTTGTATATCCCAGTTAGCCCCATACACCCATACCCCAATTTCGAGACCTGCAAGAAAAGCATGCGTTGAATGAATCCTTGCATAAATAAAAACGATAGTCATAAAGAAACGTAATTAGGAGAGAAAAATAAGATGGAAACCTCAAGTCCTTGGCTCCCGAGCTTCACTCTAGGCACTTCAGCAGAGGCCATTCTCGTACAGACTAGTATTTTTCCTTTTTTCTTTAAATTTGAGTGCCGCTCTCAGCTAAATCAGTCGAGCGTGCTTATATATTGGCAAATTATAGACCTCAATAGTGAATACTGAATATAACATGTTTTACCCGCACGGGTAGCTCAGTTGGTCGAGTGTTGGGAAAATTGGATCAAGTGATCAAGTTTCAAAACTCGCGGCGACCTTGTGGAGGTTACAGAATCTGAAATCAGGCTGGACCTCTGGTGCGCACGTGTATAAGGCCTAACGCCACTTTACTGACTGAGTCACCGTGATTAACCTCCTCACCATCCTGTCGGGTCGAGGGTGAGGGGCCTTGAGGTTGGGGTGTTTTACCAAAATACGGGATTCATCAACATCTATTGCCAAAAAACGGGGAGAAAATAGGTTTTCCCAAAAAGCGGGAGTCGGAATTGGGTGTTCCGACCAGAGGAAGGGTTTCAAAAAAACACCTCTCCCTCCAATCGGATGTGTGACTTCCAACCAGGATTTTTTTTTAACTCCTTATTAATTCCTTATTGTTAAAGTTTTGATTTTAATAGTTTTTTAAAAGTATTGTTAATTCCTTATTCTTAATTCCGAATTAAAAGTTGTTTTAAATTCTTGACATATTTTTTAAAATGAAAATTATGAATTTTGATTTTTAAAATTTTTTGATTGCTTAATATTATTTTTTAATATTAATCCGGAAATAGTAAATCCCAACATAAATCCGATATAGGGATTTTAAAACAAAATAAAAAAGTAGTTTTACTCCTGTCGGAAGTCCCAATTCCGACGAGAGGATTTTTTTAGAAGTTTTATATATTGCGGATGAATTAAAACGAAAAAAAATCAATAAATAATAAAAAAAAATCCTGTCGGAATTGGTAAATCTGACAAGGGGAAATTAGAAATTAATAATTTGAGTTAAATTTGAGTTTAATTAATCAAAAATGTTAAATTAATAATCCGACAAGTCCCAATTTTATTTTGTTTAAATCATAACTTTAGAAGTATTTATTTTAGTAATTTTTAACTCATTCAATTAGATAAACTCGCATTTTATCAATATAACGCGTTTAAACAAAATTTGACCCATTAAGTCATATGAATTTTATAACATTCAAATAAATGTTATTTATTTTTTGTAGTAGATAATAATATATTGAAATTTATGAATGTATCTAGTTTGTACAATCATAAACTCGGGTGAAGAGTCAGATGAACCTGACTATGATAAGGTTTTAGTAGTGATTGCCTATTCATCCACGAGCGATGATAGTGATGAGGCAGTAGGGGTATTTATGATCCGGGTCTAAAAATGTGAATCACAAGTGTGAATATTAAAATTTCATCTATATATTTATTAAGTAACTCATGGTCAAATTCACAATTCATGTTCATAATATATGTTAATTGCATTTCAGAAGATTGTATCCTTACGAGGTCGAATTGGGGTTTTTATGATCCGAGTCTAAAAAAATGTGAATCACAAGTGTTAATATTAAATTATCATCTATATATTAAGGAACCCGTGGTCAATTTCACAACTCGTGTTCATGATATATGCTGATTGCATAAAATTCGAATGATTGTGCCCTTATTGGGTCAAATTGGTGGTTTATGATCCAAGTCTAAAAAATGTGAATCACAAGTATGGATATTAAAATTCCATCTATATGTTAAGTAAATCATTGTCAATTTTACAACTCGTGTTCATGATATAGGCTGATTACATTTCAAATGATTGTATCCCTACCGGGTCGAATAGGGGTTTTTATGATCCGAGTCTAAAAAATGTGAATCACAAGTGTGAATATTAGAATTTCATCTATATATTAACTAACTCGTGGTCAATTTCACAATTCGTGTTCATGATATATGCTAATTGCATTTCAGAAGATTGTATCCTTACCAGGTCGAATTAGGGTTTTTATGATCCAGGTCTAAAAAATGTGAATCACAAGTGTTAAATTTTATTTGATTATATTTTTTATCTAATAAAATTTTATCTGATTATATTTTTTCTGATTAAATTTTATTTGATTATATTTATCTGATCAAAATCTTAAGACATAAAAAATGAATTGAATTGGTAGGTGGAAGTTAGATTTAGGTGAATAAATTTTATTTGATTAAATTTATGTGATTTCTTTTAATTTGCATATTTTAAATCGTTTAGGTGGTATGAGGTTTCCATATTTTGCACTGAGATACTAATTTAAAAGAAGACAAAATACTGAAAATACCCACTAGCTACATTAAAGAAAAGAATGAACCCGCACGGGTAGCTCAGTTGGTCGAGTAGTGAGAGATTTGGATCAATGAACCAAGGTTCATGATATATGCTAATTACATTTCATAAGATTGTATCCTTACTGGGTCGAATTGGGGTTTTTATGATCCGGGTCTAAAAAATGTGAATCACAAGTGTTAATATTCAATTGTCATCTCTATATTAAGGAACTCGTGGTCAATTTCATAACTCGTGATAATGATATAGGCTGATTGCATAAAATTTGAATGATTGTGCCCTTATTGGGTCAAATTGAAGGTTTTATAATCCGGCACATAAAGTATTGAATTTTGGGTCACTTTATTTTTGTACAAATATGGTTGGATAGAATATTGAATTTTGATTGAATTATATATGATAAAATTTTATCTGATTCATTTTATCTGATTGAACTTATCTAATTAAATTTTATCTGATTATCAATTTTATCTGATAAATACTTCTAACGTTATGGTTTACATAAAACAAAATTTATCTCGAATATAAAATTTCTTAAAATAACAATTTAATTTATAAAATTTAATTTATAAAATTTCTCAAAATAAAACAAAATATATGTATTTTCAAATATAAAATTTTTAAACAACATCCCTAGTCGGATGTGGGGAATCCGACAGGTTTTTTTTTGTTTTTTTTTTAGTTTTTTATTTTTTATTTCTTCTGATTACATATTATTAAGCATTAGAAAATTTCAAACACTCCTAGTCGGATTACACAGTTCCGACTAGGTTTTATTTTTTTTTTATTTTTTTTTTAATTCATTGGGATTAAACAAATAATGGAAACAAAAAATTCAAACCCCTAGTCGGATTCCACAATTCCGACTAGGTATTCTACACCCTAATTCGGAAGCCCTCCCTAGTCGGATTTGACAAATCCGACTCCCGTAATTTGGTAACCTAATTGCAAGTCCCGCAATTTGGATTGTCAGACGGGAAAACCCCGTATTTTGGTAATTTCCTCTTGAGGTTGGGCATTCAACCTTTGGACCAAAGAATATAACATGTTTTCAATGTGGCAATCAGGGCCCAGGGTAGACAAAAATAACAAAAAATCGGTATAACGTTCTTACCGTACCGAAAAAATTTGAAAAATATTGGTATATCGTTATTTTTGGTACAGTATATACCGTACTGATTTATTTTGGTACGATAACAGTAAATGTTTTCAAACACTGCGGTATACTAGTATGATACCATATCGACTCCCCACCCAACTATTACTTTTAGTTCTAAAACATTGTAAAAATCTATTACAATTTTGAAGTCCAAAATTAATACTTAGGCAAGTTATGAATACCACAATACAAAAATAAAGACCCAATTTCCCAATCCTATTATAACCTTTTAGGTTTCTACGTAACATTCAAACAAACAAACTCTAATGACTAATGAGTAATGTACTAATGTCCAGAAACAAGTTCATATTGTTCCAAGAGCTTGCGAATCGCGATGACTGAGCTACTGAATAGCTGACACAGTGACGCGTGAAGAAGGATACACTTATGTGACGAGTGTATCTACATAGGGATTCCACGAGTCGAGGAACACAACTTTGTTCTGAAAGTCTTATTCAAATATTTTTTTAAAAATTATAAAAATGACTAAATACACAATATCATATTAGGAATAAATGATTTTATATCCATGTTGTTTGAATAATTTTATTTATTTTTGTTAGAGATCACTATTGATTTAATTATATCTATATTGTTCAAGTTATTTTAGAAGATGTGTTATTTTTTAATACGTGACATGTTGAACTGCTTAAATATACTAATAATAATTAGTGTTCGATATTGAATATGACATCAATAGATTATTACTTGTATTTTGTAACATTTTAATAATGGATTAAATATGTCGCTAGTAACACAAATTTAGTATATTTTATTAGTCTATGATAATTTGTTGTATAGAGAGACATGCATGATAATTTACAGATACCGAACCGTTACTGAATTGAAAATTTGGTAAGATAACGGTATATAAATTTTGTATACCGAAAGTTTTGGTACGGCAAAGGTATGAGAGAAAATATTCGACATACCGTACCGAACCACACCTAGTAGCAATCAGATTTAAATAGATTAAATCAGATCAGATTACGATTGTCGTAAAATACAAGTAAAATAGATTTGTATCTGACCAAATCCAATTAAAAAGCACTCTAAATAATGAGTAATGTTTTCATTTTGTCAAAGCAAGTAGCATGGTATTTCAATCCAATTAAAAAACACTAAATAATGAGTAATGTTTTCATTTTGCCAAAGCAAGAAGTATAGTATTTAATTTCTAGTTTATGTCGATGTAATTTTGTTTATTTTTGTAATTTATATGAGCCTATTAAAAATACTACTGAAATAAAATAGTTTATAAAAATATGATCAAGGCTATGAGTATAGTGTCGTTGTTACTTCAATGTAAAAAATGAACAAAAATGTACAAAATCCACTACGATACATAGTACATATAAGATATAACACTTTTGTAAACATTTTTTAGTTTAGTCATATACTATGTATACAATTATTTCAGTATGTTTTTCTTTAAATATAACTTATGGAAAAATATATTAATATAATTATTATGGAGAGAAAAGGGTAAGATAGGACCTCAAACTTACAAAAAAATGTCAAATAAAGCCTTATATAGGAGGTTCTGTCCGACCGACGCCATTTGGGGCAGTTCCCGGTAGAATTTTTCGATGAAACTTTTTTAGCATCTTATA